TTTCATTCTTTCCTCTTTTACTTTTGCTAGGGAGGCCGGTGTTTCTACATTACCGGCTCCTCCTGTGTACTATTCCATTTTTTTCGTTTCGTAGTGGGTCAACCCCTCCACAAGGTCCAATTCTTGATCATTACTTTCTTCAGAGATTTCCTTTGTCGATGTAACAGTGTGGCCTGCACTCGCTGACGTCGTTCCGCCTGGTCTTCCCGCCACTTGCTGGTACAAGACCGTGGCGCAACAGTGCCCACTGCTGTTTTCTCTACCCTGCTACAGGCACCTCGCAATGGTTGAGACTCATCATGAGGCTGCTTGCAGAGACGGTGTAGACAGTTGTCGACAGCAAATTCCTTTCTCTGGCATCTGAAGGTTCCCTGGCTAGTTTCCTTCTTGGAGGCATTTCTCCAACGTCGTGCCACTGTTGCATGACCGGATACCTTCCTGCAGGTGGTAGCCAACTTCTTCTGGGGTCCACAACTTCCCCGTGTCGGAATCTTCATATTTCACTGATTTTGGTCCCTATGCCTTTTCCTCTTCGGTTCTCCGACCGGCATTACTTCAGCGTCTTCTATGGGTACCTCTCGTTGTCCTGCTGCCTCAGGTTTCCTGTCCACAGAGGCCGGCTCTTTTTCTTCTGGACGTGCCTCCATTTCTCGGCAGGCCATTGTCACTCTTACCGGTATCACTACGGAGACCTTTTCTTGTTGTGCCGTTCTTGCTGGGGTTGCTCTCGTCTCCACAGCAGTCTTTTCTCGCCAGGCTTTCGAGTCGGCGTCTAATTTGGCCATTAAATCTTCTTTGTCTTTTTTCTATTGGCCTCCATTCTGTCTTGCATCTGAACTCGGTTGGCCCTCATCTCTTTCAGAAGTTCCTCTTTGTCAGCTTTCCTATCGGTGTCTAATTTTGCCAGGAAATCCTCTTTGTCTTTCTTTCGATTGGCCGCCATTCTGTCTTGCATCTGCTCCCGGTCGGCATCTGCCTTCGCCAGCATTTCGATTATTCGCTGCATCTCCATTTTATAGCAGTAAGATACTCCATGCACAACAATTTGTTTGTGGTGTGTTTAAGTTCATAAACAATTCTGACACCAGTGTACCGTGTTTTTTTTTTTTTTTTTTTACTGAAGACGCCATTCGGATTGTTAATTGGTTTATTTAACAACCTACAAGTCTCGGCTACAATTAATTACAACATTGTCACGGGTTTACACAATTTACAACCCTACACAATAATCTGTCCACTCTATCCTCAGTAGTCTACATGTATTTACAGTAAGGGGGAGCTATATAAGTGTCACTGTATTACACACTCCCAATACCTTCTCAGTGATCATGAACTATCACTGATTATCACACACGCATCCGGTTCTTCGATTCGCGACTGCTACTATACTCCGTCTTCGGCGGCTGCTACACTTTAACTGGCTTCTTAGGCAGTGTAGTTCTCTTATATAGTCACGGTGTTTGCCTGTTACATGGTGGGTACCGCTGTTTATTACCGTCGTCTCTAGCAACCACTGTTTACTTGCTTTGCTTAACAACCACTGTTTACTCGCTTTGCATAGTGACCAGTGTGCTTGGACTCGGCTCACTTCGGCTCTGCCCGGCACGTCACCGCTGGCGGAGGGGGGGAGGAGCGTCCTCCATAGCGCCATGCGTCACAATATATATATAAGACCGGTGCTTTATTATGGATGTGGGGGTTGGACGCTAAACAAGAAAGAGGAATCAGTCATCAATTCATTCAAGAGGAAAATCCTAAGATGAATTTATGGACCAATAAAAGAGAATGGGATATGGAGAATAAGATATAATAAAGAGTTATACAAATTATATAAGGAGCCAGAGATCTCAGTGACGATAAAGCTTAAAAGACTGCAATGGGCTGGGCATGTACAGAGAATGGATAAGGAGTGTATTCCAAAGAAAATATTATATAGTACAATTCCCAGTTTCTTATTGGTTGATTGTCTTAGTCTAGTCTATCTCTTGTTTTCCCAGTGATGAGTTTAAATTACAACTTTTTTATGTACTTTTATTACATTACGGAATTACAGGATTACCGAAACAGAATATAGCATCACCTTTGTAACTTCAGTAGAATGAAATTCATGGACCTGTATTATATACAAATTTTTTTATATAGGAGTTATGGATTATAAGCTGTCTTGCTGAATTTCTCTTAGTATATGGGAGTCTGCCCTGGTTATTAAAACAGATTTATAATATTGTCACGTATCGGGTGTATATTGCGACAAATAAATTCTCGATGTATTCGATGTAGCGAATTTTATTTCACATTCGCTCTTACAATCTGACGATTACTGCTATCTGCAGTATCACAATTAGTACACTCCAAATGCCAGAATACAACTGACTAGTTGCTGGCTAACTCGGCGCTAGCTCCAGGACTAACTGACTGACTCAGTACAACTGACTGTGAATAGCCTTCGCTGCTCCCTATGTAGCCTCGATCGGACAATACGGCCACGTAATAGGCACCCTTGTTGCGTCACCGCTGTTGATTTGCCTTGCATAGTTACCCGGTTACGGGGCTCGGCTATCTTCGGCTCCGCTCGTGACGTCACCGCGCATAGCTGCCAGGATGCGGGGTGATCACTCGCCCATTACGCGAGCGTTACGTTACCACTACGTGCAGCTGGGGAGGTAGGGGTCAACATGTCACACTGCTCCCTCCTTAAGGTTGTTCGTCCCGAATAGCCTAACGGTGCATCCCCGTTCCTTTGCTTCGGAGGCTGTTCTTGCAGCATCTTCTTTGTCCATTACATCCGCTCCCTTCTTAAGACAAAGCTCGTCTCGAGCGGTTTCCTTTCAGCTCGCCAGAAGATCACATTCATCCATCACTTCCATTCTATGGCACATTCATTCTCTCTGGGGAGGCCGGTTCTTCTACATTACCGGTTCCTCCTCTGCTTGAAGTTTCTTTTTCCGTTTTGGAGGGGGTCGTCCCCTCCACAAGGTCCAATCCTTGCCGTGTCGTAGGCAGACAGAAAATCCAGCCACTCGCCTGGCGATCTGCAGTCTTGCAATTTTTCCCAGGTCTGCTTCCTTCACATATCGTGGATGTCTGCCGCCTAGGTCCTTCCCTTCATTTCTGCGTTGTAGTTCCTGTCTTAGGCCTCGGTTCCTGAGGCCAGTGTTGCGTTCCGGCCCTTTCCACAGTCTTTTTCCGAACGTCCGTTTCTTGGCAATTTTTGGTGCGACCTTATTTTTGATCTGTCCCATACGCCTGTGTCCTACGCAGCGTGTAATCTTTATTCCGGTGGCGGGCACTCCTTTCCGCTGGCATCCGAAGGTTCCCAGGGGAATATCCTTCTTGAAGGCAATTCTCCAACGTCGTGCCACTGTCGCGCGACGGGATGTCTTCCTGCAGGGGGCAGCCAACTTCATCCGGGGTCCACAGTTTTCCCGTGTAGAATTCTTTATATTTCGTCGATGTCGGTCCCTGCGCCTTTTCTTCTTCGGTTCTCCGACCGGCATTACTTCAGCGTCTTGTGCGGGTACCTCTAGTAGTTCTGCCGCCTCAGGTTTCCTGTTCGCTGAAGCCGGCTTTTCTTCTTCTGGACGTGCCTCCATCTCTTGGCAGGCCATCGTCACTCCGACCGGTATTGCAATGGGGACCTCTTCTTGTTGTGCCGCCGCAGGTTTCGTGTCCGCTGTGGCCGGCTTTTCCACTTCTAGCCGTGCCTCCATCCTCTGCATGGCCAGCAAAACGGCATCTGTCTTAGCATCGTAGGCATCCATCTCCTTCAGTAGGAGTTCCAGGATTTCTTCAATTTTCATCATGTGATAGTGTAACACTTGTAACTTGTGGCGTGTTCAAGTTCGTAAAACACTTCTGACACCAATGTAACGTGTCTTGAGTTCGAATCTTGTTCGTCACGTGTGTAAGTTCTAATCCCACTTCTGACACCAGTGTAACGTGTTTCGTTACCGAAGACGCCGTAGAGATGGTTAATTGGGTTTATTTAACAATCTACAAATAACGGCTACAATTAATTATCACAATATCACGGGTTTCCACACTTTACAAACCCTACAACAAAGTCACTTAACACGATCTTCACTTGTCTTCACGTACTACTAACGCGGGAGCTATACAAGTCTCCCTGAAATACACACTCCGAGTATAACTGTACTGCAGCAATCACTATGTCTGGAAAGCACACAATAAGTCTTCCGCTCGCTGACTTCTTAGTTATCGCACACTCGCAGGCTGCTATGTTTCAACTGAACTCGTAGCTGCTGTGAAGTCTACTTATATAGCCTTGCGCTGTTGCTAGTGTGACATGGCGTATAGCCTAGGACGCTGTTGCTAGTGTGACGTCACCGCTGTTGATTAGCATTGCGTAGTTGCCAGGTTACGGGGCTCGGCTATCTTCGGCTCCGCTCGTGACGTCACCGCGCGTTGCGCATTGCGGGGTGATTATTCGCCTATTACGCGAGCGCTCAGTTACCGCTACGTGGAGCTGGGGCGGTAGGGGTCAACATGTCACAATATGTTATAGTCTTGGTTATTTGAAAAATCTGAATAGGCCCAGGAATCATGTCCTGTAAACTGGGTCAGACATCAGAACAAAGTAGATGATTTCAAAATGTGCATATAGAGGATTGTACAGATTCCCAGTAATTTAGTGGCATAAATGTCACATTTCTTTATGGGACTACAGTTCATTTTCTGTTCTCTTCATATGGAATTATGTAATGAAGAAGTATTGAGGTGGCAGCTGATACTGTAGTCGGCAGATAAGTTGTGCTTCCTCTCAAGGGGTTACGGGGAGCAGATTGGTGGTAGGATACTGTATCCATGCACTGCTGTATTCTACTGCTCAAAACAAGAACAGAATCCTTACACTATTCATGTAGCAGTACTGAGTAAAGAAGCTGTGGGTCAATGTTTGAGTTAACCAAAGTCCACTGTGCAGCAAGGCGCAGGGAGCATAGGGCTCAAGAAAACTAACATGGGCAGTAATTGTGTTTCAGGTTTGGAAACAAAAGAAAGTGTGGGAAGGGTTCATCAAGTGTTGTCAGCGAACAAAGCCACAGAGTTTCCAGGTGTTACTGCAGCTTCCGCCTGCCCAGCTCAGTGATGTGTTGGCCACCTCACCGGATTTGCAGCAACCACTGCTGTCCCATGTCATGGCTTTCACAGAGAATCAGGTCAGTGCAATCTCCCTGCTATTAAGTTTCAATCAAAGTATTTCTTTGTCTTGTACCATGAGTATTCCTCAGCAAAGAGCCTGAATGTATCAGAGAACTTCACCTGGCTCAGGACATGACCCAGCAGCTGGCTCTTTAGAACATGGCAATGAACGTTTGGATTTCATAAAAGGCAGGGAATATCTTGACCAGCTGAAGAACTGTTAGCTTCCACTGGAGTTCTTTCTTACGCCCTTATCCAAAGTGTTTCATATGTACAGTGAAACCCTAATTTAGGGTTTGTCTTGGGGACAAGCATTTTATATCTTAAATGGGGGTGGGGCTGTAAAATAGAGTTATTAGTTATAACTAATAGAACTAATATAAACTATGTAACTAATATAAAAATAGAGTTATAAATAAAATTGAGTTATTTTGAAGGAGATTGCCACCAAAATTGAGTAAGTTTTTTGACCTAGTCTGGGAACTTTCCAATAAACCTCATATCATTGCAAGTGCGTCTTTTGGGTTGACCTTGATTCCGATACAAACACTGGTGTTCTCTTGATGGAGGTCTGTCATTTCCATCACAGGAGCTATATATATAATCCACATGAGCATACTCAGCATTAGTAAATCATACCATTTATTATGCTTTTATCACTGCTTTGCCATTGGAAGTTATGTGATTGATAAGCAAGTGCAGTATGAACTCTGTCTTGTAGTGTTGTGAAAGCTTCACTGCATGAGCATAACATTGTGGGAATTTGTTCATGTCGGTGTGTGAATGAACCTCCAAATGCAGGCTTTAACCTTAAGTTACGGCCCTTTAAATTCCGGTAATGGCAGCGGGGCGGATTTGATTTAAATACCCGCAATTTTAAAGCAATAAAAACTGTAATCATTTCCTAAAATTGCTGTGATTTCTACAATTTTTGTGATAAACGAACCAAATAAACGCTGTTTTTTTCTAGAAAGAATATAGAATCAGATATTGTAATTTACAGACTTTATAAAATGTGTAAAAATTTTTAGACTGATTCCAAGTATAAAATTCCCAAATTTGTCATCTGTCTACAAGAATTCATACAGTTCTTCGAACTAAGAATGCTGTATGTAGATGTGGCAACACAGCGGATGGTTATGTAGACATGTTTAGTCTTGCATGTCTCGAAGCTTATACATGTACCTTCTTTCGGTATGCAGAGATACACACCCAGTATATCTCTTCGCGTATAAGAACGTTGATTGTTTATACACAACAAGTTCTCTGTTCTGACCCTGCTCGGTTAGTTTATCAGAACTCTCAAGGCTATCGTCTTTATACCACAGCCAAGCAGTGTCATGCAGCTTCAAAGTTTCGCAGCGAGAACAGTGATATTGTCAGCTCACCATGGCGTCATCTCGT